CATGCTCCTTTTTGTATTCTATTCCATATCTTATACTATTTTACATTTTCTATATAGTTTTTTCCCCTCTTTTAATTTTCTCAATTTTATTTTGATTATCTCATCTCAATTCAAATCATTATATTTATACTTTTGTCTGTGTGTTTCAATTTCATATTATCTTTTCTCATTAAACAAATTTTCTCCTGTAGTTACTAATTGGAGTATGACACCTTTATATCTTTTAATTACATCCATTCAACTCTTATTTAAACTTCAATATATACCTTAAGTTTATGACCTTCAATATAATACATAATACATAACTTCCAAGTGAATTCTGCTTGGCACATTCTTATAATACACATTATATTCTTTAAAAAAGAAAGAAAGATTGTAAATATATGTAATTATAAACCCTCATTCGATTCCAGTTCAGTTCTATCATTAATAATCATTAAAACCATAACATCTTTAACACTTCTTTTCAATTAAATATCATACTTCCTTAAAAACACATATAATCTCCATAATTAATTTTTCCCTTATTTCTCTTCACATATGTTTTATAAATCATTAAATATACCTTTTGTTACATTTATTTATGGACAAGCATTCCACTGAATTACGATAGCTATTTTATCAGACATTTTAATCATATATTGTTTCATATTTTCTAAAATTATTTCTGCTTCTAATATAACCATACTATCTTATGAACCTTTGCAGAATCCCCTTTTCCATTAAGTTTTCACCCATTATCTCTAAATAGGCCCTGTTTCTCTATATTTTGCTTCTGTCCTTTATAACTTCTTTTCCTTTCTTTCTTCCCTCTCATCTTCTCCCTCCCCTTTTTACCCCCTTGTCTCTCTAGTTCTAATTCTCTCTTCTGCATTTCCCTCTTCTGTTGCTTTCTGATTTTATACTTATTTTTCACTCTATTTTTTTTTTGGAGTTGTTTTTCCCAATCTTAAAGTTTCCATTCTCTTTCCCCCCTTTACTTTTTTCCCCCCATCTAAGATTACTTGTTCATTAAAGATGGCTTCTTCTTTGTCGCAATCTTCTTGTTCGGCAGGCATTTCTTGTTGTTTCTCATAATTCCAAATCTCCATTTCTAAAAACTGAAATACGAAGCCAAAAGAACCTCTCCCTTCTTGTGCATCTTCTTTGTACTTTTAAGTTCCATTTTCAGTTGTTCTAAAAGTGGAGCCATTTTAAAAAGTTTTAAACAACCACCCGATTGATTTTAGTCATTCAAAACAATAACCAAGAATCCAGAAATCATCAAGTAATCCAGATAGTCCCGAGTTATATCTTCTTATTTCTTTTTCGACTTTCTCTTCCTGGGGTTTTTGTTGCGATATTTCAGTTAGAATGTATCTTTTGGAAGTCTTGTTGAGATTTTGCTGTAAGTTCTTTTTTTAATTCCAGGCAGTCTCCTCCCTTCCAGATCCTACCCTTTTATTCTTTTCTCTCCTTTCCTGTTTTCAAAAGCTTTTAATTATCCAGAAATCTTTATTATCCCCTTTGACTTTTTATTTTCAGCATTAAATGCCTATTGATGTCAAAGTGGATTTTTTTCCAATTTCTTGCTTAAGTCTCTTAGCTGTCAGTATAGGAAAAGGAGAAAACCAAATCTTTTCCCTTTTCTCTCTCCTTCGCAGCTTAAAAATCTTCTTAGGGAACAATGTTATTGTTTTTTAACAGTTTCAATTCCAGGATACCTTATTTGTTGCTTTTGCTGTTTGACCCAGTCAACCAAAACTTTCTCTTCTTATCTTCCTCCTGCACATTCTTTTCCGGTTGAGTTCTTCTTTGTGGTGGCCATTTCTGACCACCGATGCAACCGCCTTCGGGAAAGGGAATAATGGCCAGCTGGGGAGGAGAGATGCGGCTCTCCTCAACCCTGCTGGCAGTCACCCCCTCTTCACCACCTCTATGGGGTGGCTTAGCCCCGAAACCAGCAGGCTCGGGGCGCTCCAGCGGCGACCACGGATCGAAGCCTTGCAGAGACGAGGTTTCGGTCTGCCGCTGAAGAAGCTCAAACCGGAAGTCCAGTGGTGTGGGATTTTATTGACTTAAAACGCCGTCCAGATGGCAGCAGGTCAAAAAGATAATTGCCAGGGTGTGAGGGGTCTTCTATGATGGTCTTGATTCTGCTTTGGCAGTGGGACCTGGCTAAGTCTTCCAGGGAGGGCAGAGAGCAACCAATGATCTTTTGAGTTGTGTTTATCACCCTCTGTACAGTTTTCCTGTCCTCAGCTGTGGAGCCTGCATACCACACACCCAGGCAATATGTCAGAGTGCTCTCCACAGAGGCTTTATAGAAAGCCAGCAACAGCTTCTTATCCAGGTTGTTCTTCCTGAGAACCCACAGGAAGTGCAGCCGCTGCTGAGCCTTCTTCACTATGGCCTTGGTATTAGGGGACCAGGAGATATCGGCTGAAATATGGATGCCAAGGAATCTGATCGTAGGGACAGTTTCCACTCATTCTCCGTTGATGATGAGTGGGGCGTGGTCCTATCCATGTTTCCTGAAGTCCATAATCAGTTCTTTGGTTTTATGGACATTCAGTGACAGATTGTTTTGTGAACACCAGATAGACAGGTTCTCTACCTCTGCCCTATATGCTGTCTCATCCTCTCCGGAGATGAGGCCAATCACGGTCATGTCATCCACAAACTTTATGATGGTGTTTGTTGCGTGGCTTGGTGAGCAGTCAAAGGTGTACAAGGCATATAGCAGGGGGCTCAAGACACAAACCTGGGGGGAACCAGTACTGAGTGTAATAGTGGAAGAAAGGTGGGGGCCAAGTCTAACAGACTGGGTCTGTTTGTCAAAAAGTTCTTAATCCAGGACCACATGGGAGTGGGGACCTGCAGATTATACAGTTTGGTTACAAGTGTATCTGGGATGATAGTGTTAAACGCAGAGCTGTAGTCCACAAAGAGCATCCTCACATAGCTCTGTTTGTTCTCCAGATGACTCAGAGCTCTATAAAGTGCATCCTCTGTAGATCAGAAAGGTATTTGGAAGGCCAAGACTGAGTATAAGAGGAAGATTGTGGATAATTTTTATAGCAATAACATGAAGCAGGTGTGGCGAGGGATTCAACAAATTACAAACCATCAACTGACCAATGTCATCCCTGCTGAGGGGGATGCTTCATTGGCAGAGGAACTGAATCATTTCTTTGCTCGCTTTGAAGTGGAGACATCAGAGACAGATAAAATACAACCACCAGCCAATTGTAGCCCCCACCTCATTGTGGAAGAACAGGAGGTGAGGAGCATTCTGAGGGCTGTGGACCCGAGAAAGGCTGCCTGTCCTGATGGTATCTCTGGCCGAATGCTTAAAGACTATGCTGATCAGTTGGCTGGAGTCTTTACCAGGATCTTCAATCGGTCTTTATCCCAGGCCTATTCTATCTTGTTTGAAAGCTTCCACCATCATTCCGCTGCCAAAGAAGTTCCCTATCAATAACCTCACGATTACAGACCAGTGGCACTCACTCCTATCATCATGAAGTGTTTTGAGAAATTGGTCTGCCGGCACATCATTTCTGGTCTTCCGCATACATTTGATAAACACCAGTTTGCATACAGAAAAAATAGATCTGCAGAGGACGCTATAGCCATCACTCTTCACACTGCTCTGACTCACCTAGAACAGCGGGGGGGGGGGGCTATGTGAGGATGCTTTTTTGTGGATTTTAGTTCTGTGTTTAACACAATTCTTCCACATAGACTAGTGTCTAAACTTCTGGACCTTGGGCTTTCTAATTCAATTTGCCTTTGGATTATGGATTTCCTGTCTGGCCGCTCACAGAAGGTCAGATTAGGTAATCATACCTCTTTAGCCCTTATTCTTAACACTGGTACACCACAGGGTTGCGTATTGAGTCCCTTATTCTATACTCTTTATGTGCATGACTGCATTCCCACTCACGCTAGTAATACTATTGCTAAATTTGCAGATGATGGCACTTATCTCCGGGGGGGATGAGTCTGCCTACCGAGATGAGGTGGACCGGTTGCTTTTGTGGTGTGAGGACAATAACTTGGTCCTCAACACCAATAAGACCAAGGAGCTTATAGTGGATTATAGAAGGAACAGATCAGACATCCAGGCCTTGCTTATCAATGGAGACCGAGTGGAGCAAGTGGCCAGTTTTAAGTTTCTGGGTGTTACCCTAAAAGAGGACCTGACCTGGGGTACCTACATTGCAGCCCTGGTCAAAAAGGCCCAGCAGAGATTATACTACCTGAGACTTCTCAGAAAACAATAACTGAATGAAAAACTGCTGGTGACCTACCACTGCACCATGGAGAGCATTTTAACATACTGCACCTCTGTATGGTTTGCCAATTGCACAGTGGCAGATAGGAAAGCACTCCAGAGGGTTAACATCATTGCCCAGAAGATCATTGGTTGCCCTCTCCCCTCTTTGGAAGAGCTTTATAGTTCCCGCTGCCTTAAGAAAGCTCAAAACATTCTCAAAGATCCATCTCATCCTGAGAACCTTTTTTTGAACTATTACCATCTGGCAGATGGTACAGAATAATAAAAACAAGGACAAATAGACTGAAAAACAGCTTTTATCCCAGGGCAGTAGCTCTTTTGAATTCTGCTGTATAGTGCAGTGTTGGTGTAGCGTCGGGGATCTTCAGTTCAATGTGTGAAGGGTGAAGGATGTGTGTTTGTATTTATTTTCATGGTCATGGTCATGATGTGCACTGAAGATGGTGTTTGATTTCGTTGTACGAGGTGCAATGACAATAAAAAAAAGTAAACTAAAATCACAGATCTTCTCTTTGGTCAGGCTTTTAATTGTGAATTGGTTTTAACATTAATTTTAATGCATGCTTCCAGGTTTATATAATGGAACCTTCACTATTCAACAGAATAAGAAGATTGTGATTTTCAGTATGTGTTGTTAAATATATACTAGTGCTGATATTTGAAAAAAATCTGATCACTTTTTTTACTGGTTTGCTTCTCCATAATGAAAATCCCTTACCTTCCACTTAATGATGAAAAGTATGGTACCACATGTATCCCCAGTGGGCCTCCTTCCCCAGATATTTCTACGATTCTTGTCACACCACTAAGAAAAAGGGAAAAGCATCAATTATCTTCAAAAGAAAGCAAGACAAGTTGAGAGATTATTTTGAGCTTGTAAGAGACACTTATTGCACCTCAATACCTTTTACCAATCCCTGAAATAAATGGTCATTCTTAACAACTTGCAATTCCATAAGACCATCCCTTTAATAGCCATAAAGTTTGTTCTGTATGCTCTATGAGGTAAATTACACAGTCTCTTCAATATACTGGTAATTGTTAAATATGTCTATGAAAGCAAGTTTGGTACAGTACTTAACATATCTACACTAAAAATTGGGAGACCATGAGTTCTAGTTCCACCTTAGGCACAAAACCAGCTGGATGACTTTGAGCCACTTACTTTATCTCAGCCTTAAGAAAAAAAACAGCAATGGCAAACCACTTTTGAAAAATCTTGCCAAGAAAACTTCAGGGCCTAGTCCAGGCAATCACTAGGAATCAAAGCCAGTAGACTTGAAGCAAAACAACAACAAAGCCTACACACAAGAAAACTGGATATCCACATATTGAAATAATTAATATTCAAACTGTCCACATGAATCAAATTTGATTTATTACAAATCCCATAATGATATATGCTGCAAGTATTTATCTGTATACATGTTTTCTTTTTAGATCTATTAGATTCTTAGATCTACTAGGAATACAACAGTAGAGAGGCGTGAGATTCTTCTGTTTAACCATCCTTTTTGTTGTTCAGCACAAAGATGGATTTTTTTGTGCTCTATAATAATAGCAAAAAGAATAATCCTTAGGAAATGGAAAATACCATAACCATAAGGGATATATGTCTGGATTTCAGAGATATTGATTTAGCAATTTTGGAGAAATGTATATATTTAATTAATCAAAAAATGTCACATCTCTCCCTTTGGGAAATTTTTTTGAACAAGCTTGGTCAACATTAAAAGCTTTTTTTAAAAAAAGGTTTACAAAATCAAACTTCCGGTTTGTCGGCTTCGGAGGCGGCGGGGTTTCGCGATCTCTGCGATCCCCGCCGCGCTAGCCGCTCTTGGTTCCTCCGACCCAGACGGGTCCGGAGGATAAGGTTGCCCCGTAGAGGCAACCGAAGACAGGGAGGATCCGGACAAGGGGTTGGGGTGTTCGCAGACCCCTTCCCCACCCGGCATAACCTCCTTTTCTCAAGTCGGTCCAGTGGCGGTCAGCAATGGCCGCCACAAAGAAGCCAGCAACCGGACAAGATCGTGCTGGAGGAAGAAGGAGAAATTTTTGAAGCGAAAGTTTTTTTGGCTGAACTGGGATTAGAAGATATATTTAATACCCTGAAATCTAAGATTTGGTTTTTTGTTTGAAAGATACTTTGTTTCCAGAAGAGATTGGCAAGCGGCGAGTGAAAGTGTTTTCAAGTGAAAGTGTTTTCAAGTGAAAGTTTACTCTCCTTCCACATGGAATTAACAAATGAATGCTGAAAATACTACTATTCTATAAAAGGTAAAAATCTAAAGCTTCTTGTTATAAATGGGAAGGGAGAGGACAAAAGGAAAATTTATACTAAGATTTTGTTGAAGGAGATGCCTGGAAGATTTTAGAGATTGGAAGTTACTGTAATAAGAACTTAAAATACAGACTGGTTTTCTTTTTCTCCCTTTGCAACTGATTTTAACCCAGGAAGAAGGGAAGAACTTTGTGCTTTGTTTGGATTGTTTGGTGACTTTGGGACTTTGGGATTTGCTTTAAGCTTGGAAATATCTTTGGCTGTTTTAAGAAGAAGAAGAAGAGGATTTACAATGACTTTATCTGCTGATAAACTGAGAGAGGAATATGGCAAAATAAAGAAAGACGATGTGGGAGAAATTTTTTGCTTTTTAGAAATGGCGCTTGCTACTTATCAGCAAATACAACAATTGATGGAAGAAGAAGAAGAAGAAGAAGCCATCTTTAATGAACCCATAGAGGTGCTTAAGAAAGGAAGAAGAAAGAAAGGGGAAAAAAAGGATATAAGACTTAAAAAAATATCTAAGAAAGAGAAAAGTAAGATGCAAAATCAATATAAGGCTAGAAAGCAAAAGGAAAGAGAAATACAACAGAGAGGGGAAGTTAAGGGAGGTAAAAAGACCAGATGGGATAAGACAGGGAGGAAGAAGGGGGAAAAAGGCCACGAGGGTATCAAACAAGATGTGAAAAAGAAATGGTTTTTTAGGGATAAAGGGTAATATAATTTGGTTTTAAAAGGATTCTGCAAGGTACATATGATAGTATTGTAGTATTTGTATTAGAAATAGAAAATTATAATTTTATAAGATTTGAGTAAAGACTAAAATATTAAAGGTTTAATAATGGTAGAATTTAAGATTTAATAAAATATTAAAAGGAAGGTCTAAAATATTTAGTTTAAATATAGATTTTAATTGACTATTGTGTGGATGTTAGTATGAATATATTATTGTAATACTTGCTTTTGAAATAGATAATTGGAATGTTATGAGATTTAATGTTTAATGATATATTTAATTATGTTATGGATTCACTATTTTCTTTTTGTAAGTAGTATGTACTAAGCAGAATCAGATAGGGAATTTGGAGTTACCTTAAATGTTAATTTAGAGGTGCGATGGAAAGGCATCATACTTTGATTTGTGATTTCAGGAGAAATTCTTTTATTTTACTATGGGGAATGAAATATATAGACAATTGGAAAACAATGGACAAAGGATAGAAATATAATGATTTAAATTAAGTTAATAAAGAAAATAGAATTAAGAAGAGAGGAAAGCGGGGAGAAGTTATAAAGAAATTACATAATGGTAATTAAGATAGGTAATGGCATATAAGATGAATATGAATTTAATTGAAGTCCATACAAAGAGTGGTAATCCGGGGCCAAGCTACTTTTTTGAAAAAGAAGTTTTACTTTATGTGTTTTGTGTGTCTATGTCTATGTGAGATTTAGTAAAACCTTGGAGGAAAGCGGGAGGAGAATAATTGCAAACAAGACAGAGGGAAATATGAATATGATGATTAAATTTAATGAGAAGAAATGAGAGTGTTAAAAGATATTTAAGTAGAAATGGGATATATTAAAATCACACTGTATAAAATATTGTATTATCTGCCTTGTAAAAATTTACAAGGGAAAGAGGTTTAATGTGTACAAGGTTTATGTTTTGTTTGTCTTCAAAAACTAATAAAATTTGTTTTAAAAAAAAATCAGATGAGTTTGGAATATAGTTTTTTTTGAAGTTTGCAGATGATACAACAGTGATTGGTCTCATTCGAGACAATGACGAATCCACATAGAGACAGGAGGTTGTACAGCTTGCCTCGTGGTGTAACCGGAACAATCTGGAACTGAACACACTCAAAACTGTAGAAATGGTGGTAGACTTTAGAAGAAACCCTCCTATACTACCACCTGTTACAATACTGGACAACACAGTATCAACAGTAGAGACCTTCAAATTTCTAGGTTCTATCATATCACAAGACCTAAAATGGACACCTAACATCAAAAACATCATCAAAAAAGCACAACAAAGAATGTTCTTTCTGCACCAACTCAGAAAGTTCAAACCACCCAAGGAGCTGCTGATCCAGTTCTACAGAAGAATTACTGAGTCTGTCATCTGCACTTCTATAACTGTCTGGTTTGGCTCTGCAACCCAACAAGACAGACACAGACTTCAGAGAGTAATTAGGACTGCAGAAAAAACAATTACTACCAACCTGCCTTCCAGCGAGGACCTGTATACTGCATGAGTCAAAAAGAGGGCTGTGAAAATATTTACAGACTCCTCACATCCTGGACATATTATGTCCTTTTCATCTCCTCCTCCTCTAGAATTGGTCAAAGTTTAATTATCAATTTTATCAAAAAAAAATATTAAACCAAATATTTTTATTGTTCCATCTTCAAACAGACATACATAAAATATTGTAAAGTAAAAACAAACATACCATAACATGCTAGAACAAGGAATATTACATAACTGGTCTCTTTTGTTTCAGAGAACAAGGTGGGTGAGATGAGAACTTCATCTCAGAAAATTCTGTAATGTGTAGTGTTGGGCTAGCTCACCAGTCACACCTGTCACATTTTCTACTTCAATATTTACTTATTAAACAATAATTTTCCTTCTAGGCTGAATAAATCTTTAATACTTTTGAGCAAACTATAATTGTAATTTATAATTGGTATCTGAGTATGCCACAGCATTCAGATATTCAGTTCAGCATTCTTACAATACATCAAGGCTTATAAAAATTGTCACAAATAAGTGTATGAATCAGCCTCTGCTATGCTTTAAACAAACATTATATAGAATTCTGTCACCTAAATTCATGAAATTGAACTAATTGCAGTATTATAAAATAAATAACAATTCACAAAATAAAGGCTGAAATATGCCATGCTTCAGGAAATCAGTAGCCTTTATGCATATTATGTTCTTTTTTTCTTTCAGAATTTTTTATTTATATTTTTGAAAAAAATATTTAAAAGACAGTGGAATAAATAGACTCTTCTTACTGTTTTTAATAAGTAGCCATTTTAAAAATTGCTGAGAGGTGACAGGTGAATATTTGGGCCAATTCTGTACTGTATAAATGATAAATGGAAAAAGGTCTAATTCAAATGAGAAATCCAGATTTCTTTATTGAACATTTGCTGTAATTTAGGAAAATGTTAATCATTTCACAAATGAGATTGACTTAGGTTAGATTCATTGTGAGGCAGATTTCATATCATCTCTCTCCATGAATGAACATGAATAAATATAAACTGCAGACTAAGATGGAGGCAACAGTCTAATCCGACATCTTTCAAAATGTGGTCTGGGAGATTGCTGGAAATCCACAAGACCTAAGAGGTTCCAAGCAGTTAAATAAACAAATATTTTAAAATTTCTCAGTTTTAATTTATCATACAAACAAAAGCTCTTTGGAGTGCTCCAAAATTATAAAGCATACAAAGGGGTGCTAAAACCAAAATGTTTGAGAATCACTGGTCTAGGGTAAGGCACA